CACGGACATCTAGGCAAATGTCTAAACAGTCTCAGTTTGTGGTTGATACACTATTTAGCTTCTTCATTTCACCGCCAAAGTGCGGAGTAGTCAGTTTATATGAGTTGTCATTAGGGTCTGAACGTCTGCACTGTTGAACACAGCATTTTAGCTGCGCATAGTTGGAAAGCACCGAATTTTTCATTGTGTTATACAGTGTCGCCTTTGCACTTTGCTGGAAAAAGCACCTTCATGTACTGGCAGCTCATTTCGATTTCACTTCTTTTTCTACTTTCTTGAATTTTTTAGGGGGATCTTCTATTTTTCTATGATTACCCTTTAAGTCCTCCATTTTTTCAAGTACTTGGCGTAATTTTTTACTTTTTTGAAGTTTTTTATGGGGTAGTCCAAACAACATGTACTAGTTAATATAATTTGTGAATTAACAAATAAATGCGAAAAGTGGGTAAAAATATAGAAACAATAAGTATTTGTACGATTCTTATGACGAACCATTTACAGTAGAGTTTGTAACGTAAACACGTTAGTTTATTGCTCCGTTCGAATTAGAAAACATCAAATTTCTAGTAAAGTACTTTTAAAAATGGCTGTAATAGCGGAATTGAAGAAGATCCCACTTCGAATAACTAATAATTTAGTTAATTTAATGCTTAGAAGGGCTACAATAATTATAAAATCAAAACGAAATCCCACAAAGGCAGTATCATATACTTGTAAATTAATGTAAATTTCTTTTTTTTTAATGAAGTTTTAAAAATTAAACAGTTGTACAAATACTTATTGCTTCAATATTTCTTTCGATTAATTGTTTTTCTTTTTGTTAATTTCGTAACTTACATAAATAGCTTTTTTTGTAATCTATCTATTCTAGAGATTTCCGGGAATATGTAGAATACCATTGTTTATAAAAAATAAGTTAATAAATTACAATTTTACATAGTTTGTTTGGAAATTGATCGGTGTACGAATACTTTCTACACTCACTATATGTACGACGTTTAGTTGGGAAAAGAAATGATCCAAGGTACCAAACACCAGGTATGGAGAGCTTTCTTCGCTCAAGGAGTTGGTCCTCTTATAAAAATTGAGGGTATCGTGAATAGTGTGACGTACAAAGAGATTTTAGAAAGTCATATATATGGCAAAAGGAAAATGCCAGAAAATTGGTTTTTCTTAATTATTTTTTGTAATTATATTATTTTCGAATAGTGAATGACTTCAAATAACATGATAACGACCCCAAACATCCATCGAAAATCGTAAGAAGGTGGTTGTTTACAAATAAAGTACAGGTTTTAAACTGGCCTTCTCAATCTGCGGATTTAAATCCACTAGAGCATCTCTGGGGAGAGATGAAACGCTGAATGAAAAATCATAGAAGTTCTAATAAGACACAATTTTCTCAGAATTTAATAGAACAGTGGGACAAAATACCACGCGGTTACGTTATTCGGTTAATTAAATCCATGCCTCGTTGCTATGCCGTTGTTATTACTTCAAAAGGCATGGCTACGAAATATCAATTATAATATGTTAAATAATGTACCCCGAAATTGTTACAAAATGAAAAACAAGCATAATTTTTTCGTTAAACACTTTCTACAAATAAAGACGTAAGAAAAATAAATAGCGGTGATTTTTTTTATAGTATCCTTTCACGTAATATGACTGTACATATGATTCTAAGAAAAATGTCTTAACACTTTTCTTTTGGAAGAAAAATCGCAAAAACCATCTGGCCGGGAACTTTTGAACGCCACTGTCGGTGCTTTTACCTTACAAAGTTGGTTATATAATACCTCTTCAAGATCATTCCAACCGAATATCGCACCGTAAAAAGTGAAAACCGAGGCGGAACGTAAGAACATGGGTATCGCCAAGAGTCTCCTGTAATGCGAACCCATTGAACTCCGTTCCTTTCTTCGAACCGTTTAAAAGTACTGCCGATGGATCTTCGACGGGTCGAGTATGGATTAAAAGGATCGATTAAAGGCGGCTTACCAGCTCGAGGGAACAGAACTCCTGCAGGCGTCGTGTCGCGTTCTCTCTCGCCTCCGCTTCTGCGCCCAACACGACCAGTGAGATCTGAAAGCAAACGCGTAATTTTTTTATCTCTTTTCTCGTTCACTTTCACTAAAACGGTTAATCTGTTCTAGGTGACAATAAAGCTGAACGATCCGTGGAAAAAGGGAAGCCTCGATGTAAAAGAACGACACGGCTGTATCTCTGGTTGATGATGGGAATTTCCACGATTTCGAATGCTAGGTGCGACGCGTTCCAAGTTATTAAGAATCAAGGACGCGAGTAAGCCACGATTTCCTGTTGTTCGTCACTGAATGACGATAGACCGCACGGTTATCGACTGGTTGGCCGTTTAGGGGTTCATTTTCGATTCAATCAGCGTCCACGAGGACGCACAGGCCCATTTCGTACTCTTGTCACGGTCGCGAGTTACGACTTACGACCATCCATTGGCCTGCGTGCGGTGGGTCCTGTTAGGTCTTCAGCGTTCACTGGGTTCGGAGGTGGTTGGTATTCATTTTAACCGGATAGTCTCGTTTAGAATTTTGAAAAATCTCTTTAGCTGATTTTTCTTATGTACCAGGCACAGAGAATATGAGTTGGTAAATGTCATAACTAATCAAAATTGATATTCAGGGCTTTAAACTTAATTTTCTTTACCTTCCAATACGAGACGTATTGAACATTGTTGCTTCTCTTTAATCACGTCATCGAGGAATTGATGAACTATATATATTTTATGTACATAATATATTTTCTATCTTTTTGCACTATAATATTTGTAATTATATTATTTAACAGCTTAAGGACCACGCCCGAGTATACTCGGGCAAGCTTTACTTGTAGAAAAGACCACTCCTAAATATACTCGGGTGAAAACAAATACGATTTCTGGTATGTAGAAGCGCAGATTACAGATGGGCTGTGTACATTTTTGTACAGTGTATGCGATTTGTTTTAATTTTATTTTCACATATTTGTATTAGGATTAATGTTACCAAAATTAATCAGTAGATATCAACTTTCTTGAAAACGGTAACAGGTACAAAATTTTTGTTGGCGGTACAAATTAGTACAAATTCAGCACTAAATGTATCCACTTTGATTTCTTCATTTTTAGTAATTTTGACGTGTGGTCTTGCTAGCTTAATATTAAGCTAGCAGCGCCACGATTTTTTCGCAAACGGTGTGAGGTAAAAATTATTGTTGGGGATACAAATTAGTACAAAATAACTACAAAATATTCCACGAAGTCCGATACGATTCGACTGATTTGGTCCTGCCAGCTTAAGAGACGTAGCGTCTCAAGACATTTTCACTTAAAGACACAAGTTTAAGTATTAATTCTAGAACGTTTTACAAGACTTCTGCAATTTAATGTCTTGAAATTGAAATAAATTCTCTAGAGGCTTGAATGACCTAGATTCTTTGATATAGAAGCCTTGAGAAACGCTCGAAGACTTCTCAAGTTTAGCTACTTAACTCAAAATGGCTCGAGACGACCACTCTGTGGATTTTTGTTCACAAAAAAGCGTCTGACGGAAAAGGAAAGAAAATCACGTAGACGTGTCCTTTACCCAATAGTTCACGTGTCTCGAAGTGACGGCGTCAGTGGAATGTGATGAACGACAACTTAGAGATGCAGAAGCCAGAAACAACTCGAGAAAGGCCGGTCGTCTCGACTACCGATGAGTTCTTTTGTGAATTCGAAAGAGAAGTCACCGGAAACGCTACGTGAAACTCTATGTTTAACATACGGTGCCAACTCTGCGTTTATTTTCTACTGGCAAATGTATTCTCATTTTTTTCATCGATGACAAGTAACGTCGGTGATTCGCCGCCGTGCTAAATCGGTGGATCGTAATTTTGATTAAACGGCTTGCTTCGCGGATGAGAATGCTGGATATTAACCGCGGGAAATTTTCGCGAGAAAAATCCAACCCCTTCAAGATGGCAACGAGACCCAACCGCGCATACCTCCAAGAATATACCACGACAGAAATACGTGCGTCGTCTTCGAAGTTCGGTATCGCTTTCGCCCTTAAAGTTAGCGACAATTCGAGTAGGAAGATCTATACTCGATTATCATTAACGTAGTTGTTCTATGAAATCATTTAACGTAGAATTATAACAAAACTTTACTTGATTGTTACTAGATTAAATGTGAATCGTATGAGTCTATTTCGATTTAAATTGACCACACCAATTGTATGAAAAACGTTATTGTAATTATAACACAGACTCTTATAAAAGATACACATTGAAGTGCGATTTCATTCAATCTAAATCAAATGCAATTTAAAACCTTACCTAAATTTTTATATGTTATGAAAACCGAAAATACTAGATTGTCCCAGAAGTTCCCGGACACTTGCTACCAATAAATCATTTTATAATAACATTATAATCAGACAATAATTATTCTTCAAAATAAATGCCATCGCTTTTGATAGTTTTCATCCATCTTTCTGCCAATTGTTCAATATCGATTTGGATCAAATGTCGTAAAGAATTTTAATGTCAAAAATTCAAGCATCAAGTGTCCGGGAACTTATGGGCAACCTAGTATAAACCATTTAAAAAAAATAACAATTATTGACCGCGCCGTTATTGAGATATAATTCATTAAAATCTGAAACTGAACGTGAAGAAATTGCACGGTAACGGTCACCGTTATTGCCATAATCATTTTTCGAGTATTACGAATATATGTAGATATACGTATTGATTTCTTATGGACGTGTGCGAAAGCAGTAAGACTGTATTTTTACGAAAGTTTTCAATTATATTTTTGAATGTCACTATCTCGAAACAATTACCTTAAGCGAAAATATGCAGGAATGTACAGAAATGTGTAGGGTGGCCCTCAGCTATCACATTCAAACCGTCTGAAGACATTTTAAGTTAAGTAATTAAACTTGAGAAGTCTCTAAGCGTTTTTCAACAGAACTGTGAAGTAATGATTATTTTGGAATTTATTACAATTTAGAACAATTACTTTGAAATTCGAAAGTAATTATTTAACCGTTTGACCGCTAAGCAATTCTCGCAAGAACGCGCGAAAACTGCGGGACATATTTGACTTGATATTGTGAAATAAAACACTCTCATTTAGACAAATATCAATTAATTTTAATAATGCTTTTCGTATTATAAAGCAACAATATTAATTGTGATTGTGAATAAGAAAAAAGAAACATTAAATTGCTTTTTTCTTTGAAAATTAAAATTTATAAAAAGATAACTTAAAGTTTATTGATCTTCTCTTATGATCAGCACGTAAAGGAACATTTTGATAGGGGAAAATCATTGACTCTTACATGAAAAATTTATGTATAACAACTATGTTTTGCCGTACAAATAGCCTGAAGGCCTTTTTTACAACAAGCGCAAATAAGGCGGGATGGCTGATCCCGCTCCTTCTGTTTTTACACACCGCACATTGTCGTAAGTTACGTCCCGATAATTTTACAAGCGCAAATTTTTTGGTTGATTAAGATAGTTGTGTTGACACGCTATTTTTATGATTCATCCACTCCTTTTCGATATCGTCAATAATTTTCGATGTGAATTTGAGCCGGTTCATTTTTTTTTTCGGTACTGTTGGAAACATACAAAATATAAGAGCACCATTCTTCCAAATATGTTGAATAGTACTTTTTTCCAATATTTTAGGGTTCTTCGCTCGTCTAAATACGCGTATAACATTTTGTCGCACTCGTCTACGCCTCCTATGTATTTGTTGTAGTCATCAATCATGCTTGGTTTCGTGATTCCCTTTCTTTTTCTTGATCGTCACACTATTAGTATCCGAGTTGAATGAAATCAATATGACTGGGTTTGGTTTGGACTGTTTGTCCCTGAAAGAGCACATCAATATATTTTCATGTGCCATGTATTTCGCTTCTCCCACGATTGCTTTCTTAGCTTCTGGAGGAATCTCTTTTCTGTTACGTCTAATTGTTCCAGTTAGATATGTATTTTGTTTCAAAAGGGCTTTGGCCAAGTGTAAGCTTGTGTAAAAATTATCTGTAAACAGATGATAGCCTTTGTGCAGATAATTTCCAATTGAAAACAATTTTTGCACAACCGTAAATCCAAGACCATATTTTTGTACTAAATCTCTGTCATCTGTATTTTTAGCTCCTTTGTAGCAAAAAAATCCCAAACAATATTTAGAAATCGATTCGCACAACATCCAAAATTTATGGTGTTTTTTGTTTGGGATGTATTGTTTTATGGCAGAATGGCAGTGAGTACCAACTAACGACTCGTCAATAGATAATTGTTGATTTGGTATATAATGCTCACTTTCAATCCTCAGTCTTTTTGTTTGATGAGTTAAAATAATGTTATCATCACTACTTGTGTCTGTTCTTTCACCATCCTCAGAATCACTAGCAATCGAATCAACGTCCGAAATAATAGCCCGTGACATGGTTACTTTTTTTAAATAATATATAAAAACGGTAAAAAGTTATTTTAGAATGCACTCGTGTTACAAAGTACGTGTGAGGTCAGACTACGTTCACTCCCACAAAGCAACAAAGACACACTGAAACTCGCAGCGCAAAAGCGCTGCGTCGCGGTTTTCGAGACAAATGAACGCAGCGATTTTTGCGCCGCGTAGCAGTCAAACGGTTAAGTAATTGTTGATTATTTCTTTTTTAGTAATTATGCAATACCTTATTCTTAATTACTGAGTAATTCAATTGCTTTTTAATAATTACTTATAACTGCCCAAAAAGTAATTAAAAGGCGTCTTAAATCTAAAGTAGTCAAAAATACCTAAAAGTAATTAAAAAGTAATTATAACTACTTTTTTAATTACTTTCAAGTAATTGCAGTGATATCGACAGTAATTGTTAAAAGTAGTGACAATAGACATTTTTTGAATTATCTCAAAATCTAATAATTTTTTTGCCATATATTATTACACAATATTTCATTACATCATCAATCTAGACGTAATTAGCTTGTTTTGTTTTATTCTATACTGTATTTTTAATAATCTCTCATCATTCTTTTAGTGGAAATATATTTTACAGAATTAAATTTTTAATAATATACTATTAATTAAATATTACTTAATTAATTATTAAATTTACAATAATGTATTTTTAATAATGTCTCATAATTCATTTGGTGGAAATACATTTTACAGAATTAAATTTGTCATGAAATACATGTTTTCAGAGCATTTAATAAATATATTTGCATGTACCATAAACGGCACACATGGTACGAAACGTTTCAAAATTTGTTGAAAATTCAATGCGCGTTTTCAAATGTGAAATTAATTAATTTAAGTGAAATAAATTTTCAAAAAATATCCATACCTACGGAATCGAACTCCAACCTATATATGCACCCTTCTAATTAACTAATTTTACATAAACACATTTGAATTTAGTAATGAAACTTCAATCTTAAATATCCAAAAAAAGCCAATGACAAGTTCTACCAATATACAGATTCTCAAAAAAATCGGTGACTTAAATGGTATTATCTCAGGGCAGTGATGGGCAAAATCGTATCGCAAATACGAATACGATTGTAATCGAATGTTTTCGAATTGTGATTACGACCGTATTTTTAAAGGTTTACAGCCATTGAAATTCTTTACCACAAAGCCGAGTTCAGATTCGTGTTCCTCACGCAAAAAAACTTAGAAAACCATACATTCGTCGAAATCAAAAATGAAAAATTTTCAATAGTTTTGAGGTAAAAAATTTCTATGGCTGAAAACCTCTAAGAATACGGTCGTAATCGCAGAAAAATTTCCAATTACGATTATAATCGTATTCCTATTTGCGATTACGGTTTTGCCCATCACTGTCTCAGGGATAATAAAACAAGAAAAAGATACAATTCTCCTATTCCTTGTTGTTGAGTTGATTGAAAATGTACAAGCAAAGGTATCAAGTCTCCGATCGGTAGTGATCCATGGCGGTGATTCACGGGTGGGTGATAACGCCAGCTACTTCCAAAGGAAGTTGATACTGATGAGGCCCATGATTCGAGCGTTAAAGACCCCATTGGACCACCCTGTTTCGAGGCGTTCTTGGACGATTCCAATGGAATTTCGTTCGCGCAAGAGGGCTCCGAGCTATAGGCTCCTAGATGAAAAATAGAAGCGATCCAGAGGTTCTTATTTGCGACTATAAATTGCGAGGAAACACGATATTATTGATACGGTGCCCGCTTCTCGGAGTCGAGTGCGTCAATTCGTAATATTTGCGTATGAATGAGCCCACCGGTGCCCCCCCCCTGGGGGGGGGGGGGTACTGCGTAAATCTCTCAGCGGGCCCCAGTGTCTCCGATATTATCTCCAAAGAGGCCCTACAGCCACTTTTAAAGAAGCTACAACCACGCGTGCACCCCACGTCGCTCCTTGGACCGAGGGCCTGTCAAAAAACCACCGTGGCTTCCTCGCTCCTTCTTTTCCCTTTTTTCTCTCTCCGTCTCCTTTCACCTTTTCCCCTCTGTTCCCTCTTTCCTCCCTTCGTCCGTGTCCACGCAGTTTCCTTTTTATCCAACGAAGAGATCCTAATATATCCGTGGACACGGGATATTTTGTACCCTTTATCGTCCCGGGGTCGGGCCACCGATATTTATCAGGCGCCGTGATATCGCGCTCGTCCAGCGAAATTATATTCCCTCGAAATTGTCTTTTTGAAATTCCCACGGAGATCCTCGCGCGTATAATTAATAGACACCTTAGAACGGCCGTTATCCAGCCGACTAGCGACCGGGAAGGGAACGACTCGACTCGATAAATCGCTAATAATATACAGTGGCTGTCAGCTGTTTGACACGTGCGCTGTTACGTGGATACCGGCGGGGATTGACAGTGGAGAGAGAGAACCGCGAGGATCGTCGATCGTGCAAGTATCGTTGGTCCAAAGTTAATCTTTACACAGGATATGCAAGGCAATCTTAACAATAAACCTACCGACATTTTATGCAGGGTGTCTCATCCGATTTTGACATCTTGTTTTTCTCCCTATTGTTATTCGTAACAAAAAATATTTTAGCGGAGACTTGAATGGTATCGAGCGGAGCATATTCTGATGTTATTTGTTTTTTCGTGAGTGGACGCGTAAAGGTTATATAAAGGTTTATTTTGTTTTCTTAAATGGACTGAGGTATTTTTTAATACATCAATCGATTCACCTGGACAATCGTTATAAAAAAGTACTAACTATATAATGTCGGAAAATTAATAGTTCAGGAGATATTCCAATTTAAATGCGAACTATTTTATCAAAAAGGATTTGAAACGTCAATCTCTCTCACTCGTAGCTTAACCTGACGAAAATTGAAATGCGAAGCTGCCGCGTGCTCGATTTCACAACTAGTATGTTGGAAAAATAATACTTGAAAAACTAATTGCAACTGTAATTGTTTCAATTACTTCTTTTTTTTTTATTAAAAATCATAATTAAATAATAATTTAAGAATTTTATTATAGAAAATATATCGTTTTTAATATTTTCTGTATTTGAATTTGGTTTTAACTAGTACAATTAAAAAAGAACCACCTTAAGACGGTCTCGTGATTTAGAAAACAAACGTGACTCGCATTTCAGTTTGATTCTTCGTATATTGAACTCACTAGGAATACGATTTAAGAGTTATGTGACATAATTTTAACGGAATTTCATTTCCAGCTTATTAATGGTAAACTTATGAATACTGATTTATTCGCAGAGTCTACACAATCTAACAGTTATTCAGATGTCCTGTCACTCGTTCAACGTGAAACGCAGTTTGACTGTATAATTCAGTAGGCCAATCGGTAAAAAATTAAAACAGCATTTATGTGACAAAAATACGAACAGCAAACCGATTGTACACTTACATAAATGAAGATGCGTAGATTAATAAAGTATATGTTTTTCACTCCCAACTCTGTTCTGTTTGCTCATTATTAACGATTTAATGTAAAAAAATCGTGATTTTTGCCGTTTTTTGCTTATAGCTTTTAAACTAATACAGCAATATGAATGCTTCAAGGAGATGTAGGTGATGAAAATACTTACACAATGGGACTTCGAATGTTTCGATCGGATAATGAGAAACGAAGAAAAATCTAGAAAACC